CATGCCTATAATTATGACTTTAAACAGAGGAAATTGTCATCCTTAATTCTCTAGTCAACTTAATTTTCCCTTGATAATGCCGTAGGACTTTAATGCTAATTATACTGAGATGTTCCTTTTTTTTTTTCTTTTTTGAACTGAGAGAAATTGGGGCATTGGAGGAAGAGAAAAGAGATACAAGGAAGTTGAACTCCGGTAATGTAGGTGGTGCACACACGATGACAACACAAACTATGGGCCAAATTTCCTGGGACCGTCCTATTTAGGCTCTACAAGCCACAAAACTTTTATGGTCAAGAGCACTTTTTGGCCAAACAAATAGGGATGGTCCAATAACTTGATCAACAAAAACTTTTAATTTACTAAATCAGATACCTCAAAGCATCCTGATTCAATCTTGGCTTGTACATAAAATAGTTTAAGGTGGCAGAAGTTGTCTTTAAACCTAAGTATGGTTTAATTAGATCCTAATTTTCACTTATGTAACGATTTTCAAAAGCAAATATGAGACATCCTAAAAAGTTTAGGGATTCGATTGCTATAATAATAAGGTTGAAAATCTAACTAAACCACTCTCAAAAGATCAAGGCAATGGCCCAGCCACATTACGGCCCGGTGCATGGTGGCTCCCCTGGCTTTGGAGAAAAGAATTAGTTTATCCGTTTCGGAGTTTGTAACTAAAGTAAAATTGATCTGTTAACTTTTGTTTTAATCATTTTTATCCTTAAGTTTTATATTCATATTTTTTTTGTCGTTAGTTTATTGATCTATTGGGTACTCTAGGAAGATATGTTTGGTACTTTAGGTGACGACTAGAAAATTAAATAAAAGATGAGGGAAAAAAAAAGATTAATTGAATTATGATATTTAAATTTTTACCTTGCTTTTTGTCAATAATTTTTTTTATGGTAGTTTGAAGTATCATTTTTAAACATTTAATTTCTATTTAAATTTATTTAATTTATATTTGGATTTAAAAATCTTTCAGACATGTCAAGTATTATATATTAATTTTTGATTGAAAAAATGAGAAATTTAGTATGTTAATCAAGTGCTTTAAAAATTTAACTTCTAGTCCTTATGAATTGGCTCAATTGGTGGAGTACAAACTTATCAACAATCTATTCTTAGGTTCAACTCTCACAATATGTAGATATTTCTATTAGCCTCCATTGTAACATATTATTAACTTGATCTTAGACTCTATGATTTTTCCTTACCATAAACTTTCCTGACATTTTTTTTTTTTAAAGAAGAATTGGCCCCCATAACAACAATTCCTAGCTGGCTCCACCACTGAATTAGGATCTAGCCAAAACAAAATAACAATTGAATCCTCCAATTGTGTAATGAGTAAAAATGTTACAAATAGAATTGAATATTTGAATGTCATTGCAAAAGTTGGGAATCTAAATGGACACGTCATATTAACTAAGGATGACCAACTCCTTTAAATTGCCGTGCGCAGAAATTAACGGAATCCAACTGCATGTTAGGTAGTAATTTGCACAAATTGGGTGGTTTAGGGA